GCAAAAATAGTTGTAAGTATTTAAAAAGTAAAAATGAATTGCTTTCCGTTTGTTTAGCTGTTTTGAACTCTCTAGTTTAGTCGTGATCAAGGACTGACTGTCGAGTACCGCCGTGGAACTAGCAGTTGGTTCTACGTCGCGCAGACCGCTGTGTTTGAGAAGTAGTATTCACCACTTACGAGCAGCCGTGTGTCAGTGCAGCCAGCTGCACGATGTGATGTCACAGATACGTTAATTTATACAAGATTATCCCCAAACTCTTAATGCTGCCGGTTGGGGACATTATGTACATTTGCAGACGAGAAGGAAATAGGCTTAGAGAGTGGAAGGAACCTGCTCAGTTAGCTCAGGATGGGGAGAGCCGAGATTTAAACCAAGGTTTGTCTAACTCCCAAGACTGATAATGACTTTCCTGTTATCGCTCCAGTTTTCATCTGTTTTGTTCACATATATTAATATTAACTCAGAAAAAAGTCTTAATAGTAATTTTAAGCTTTTTTTTCCCCAAACCTCTTATCGTAAGTAAATCATTTTTATGTGGTGGTGTTTTTTTTGTACTGTTTATAGACCTTTTTAAAAATTACCGCTTACTAATCTGAGATACATCAGATCAAGTATTTGAGCTGACTACTAATTAAATGGCTGTATAATTCTAAAATTCAGGAACAGTTATATCACCCTGTTTTGGTCACATTTGGGCTACTCATTGCATAGCATCAAAAAAGATGTCAAGTCAGAATTTGAATTTTTGAAAGAGATTTCCAAGCTGTGCTTATGAGCAATGTCACTGCTGCCCGTCACTCTGAGCTCTGATTTTGCTGCAATGAGAGATTCTGGGCAGGAGACAACGGAAACGTGCAGAGTCAGTTCTTCTTCATGCCCTCTTTCCCCTTTCCCTGCCAGGCGCCAGTGCTTGGCTGACATCGTGGATTGCCCCAGATGGTAGTGTGCTGTTTATGAGTATAGCTTTGCAGAAGGAAGTGGAAGAATGTTTTCCGAGCCTAGACGTACGTGAAAGACTGCTTCCTAGAGTTGGTTGAGTGAGATGTCCCGTGAAAACCCAACCCCACTGGTATTCGGCTTGAGTAATTTCAAAAGTAATGCTCCATTTGTTCTTGGCTTGTTACCCCTTGTCATCAGAATGTGAGAGTACACACGTATACAGACAGATCCATGTTATGTATTACGAAGAGGGAAGGGAATGCAAAACTAAGAATGGATCAAGAACAAGGAGAAACTGATGTTATTTGGTTTTTTGAAATAAGAGCCCATAGACTTGGAGGAGCACCTGAATGCTTTCCCCATGTAAAGTGCTACCTTGGCTCACACTAATGTTATCCTATTATACAGGTGGGAAAACTGAAACTTGCAAAGATTAAATAAAATAACCTGTCCTGACCCGAACAGCTGGCTCCGCGAAGGAAGAGGTGGAGCCGGGAGCCTGGATCCGGGCCCTGGATCTGGGCTTCTGATGCCCATCCTGTTCCCATGGCCACTCCCCCTCCTGCCTCGCAGAACAGTGATCTTGTCAAGAGGTTTGAGTAGGAGGTGGGTCAGTGTGAGGAGGACCGGATGGGAGGGGAGCGGGGAGAGGAGCAGGTGGCAGGATGCTGATGACGAGGGTCTGGAGTGAGGGAGGAGGTCTGGCCCGGAGCAGGAGACTCGGAGTTGTCCGTGTTCCCGTCATCGCGGGGGACTTCTGGAGCATGGAATAATGGTTCTCGGTCCCAGGTGGATGCCTGGCTGTAGGGAGGGATCACAGGGAGCCGGAGAGGCCTCGGCAGGCCATCCCAGCTTCAATCGCCCTGTCCTGTCATAGAGTGAATACAGCCGTGGGTCACAGAGCTTGGACTGAGGAAGGCCATTGGTCCCTCCTGCCCCAGGGGCCACTTTCCCCTCTTGGGTGTCTGAATTTTCAGGATGTGATCTGTCTGTGACTCCCTGTGTTTTTCCCTTCCAGCTGTGTAGTCAGCTGCAACCTGAGCTTCTGTATAGACCATCAGGGTACCTTTGAGCGCAGGCCCAGAGTTGGCAACAGATCTACTGGCCCTTAAGGTGATGTGTTGGCATCTCCCATCCTCCACATAAGGACCACACCCTCCGGCTCTTTTCTCCCTGCTCCTTACCCTTCTGTTTATTCTCTTTTCCCCAACCTCCCTCTTCCCCATTTCCTTTTTGCCTGTGACACTGCCTATAAGAAGGGTCTCGACTCTTTCTGAAGTGCCTCAGTGCTTGTGAGAGTCGTAGTTGCTTCTTAAATCTCTGAAAACATTTCCATGAAAACACCAGGAAAAGTCCACAGCAACATCTGTGCAGGGCTTTCGGCTCTCGCTGAAAAGAGGAAACCAGCAGCAGCAGGTGGGGTTTAGAAACCGGCGGCGTGTGTGGGTGAGCTTTGTGCGATCTTAGCAAACAAGATCTGACTTCTTTGTTTTTACAGTCTTAGGATTTTCAGCAAAGAGCAGAATAATCTGTATGTTTTCTTGGAAAATCTCTTATTTTTCTCCAGAACTTTAGGTATTAAATAAATGTCTTTGAATGATTTCAGATTTATTATCTGTCACATCCATATAGAGATTCCATGTTGAAGGAGACATGCCCTGATTTTTATTATATTTTGATTTGAATATAGTTTTGCACTTACTAAGGTGATGGGTAATCCTTAGTTCGTTATCGTCAAGCTAGACTCTTTTCCCTCACTCACTTTTCCTTTTATACTTTATCTCAGTAAATGGCAGCTGGCCCTGACAGGCGTAGTGTCTTTAAGAAACCTCTAGGTCCCTTCCTTCTCACACCAGTTTGTTGTTATCTCGGGGGGTGGGGGGGGCTCTTGGCCTGTATCACATCCTCCCGGGGCTCCCCTAGGTACCTCTGTGGCCTCCTACCCGGTTACCGCAGGACCAGTCTTTTCCCAACTCAGTGCATTCTCCGCGTTGCCGTCAGAAAGGTCCTCTGACGGCATCTGATCACAGGCTGCTGTGCTCAAAGTCCTCCACTGGTTGTCTTTACAGCAGTTTCTCTACCTTAACAGGTGCTTCTTTTTCATCAGGTAAGATGCTACGTCCCTCCCCTTCTTACATAATGCATCGTCCTGTATTGACACTTCTGTGTTTCCTCTGCATCAGTCAAGAAAATTTTGTCGAGCTTTGCTTTTGATACTTAACACTAGGAGAATGTGGGTGTTCCAACCCTAGCACTCAGGTTAGGAGACTGAGCTTGCTTTTCAAGTCCACGTGCCTCCTCCTTCCTGTCTGCTCTGAACTGGACAGTGGTCAGTACAGAGGACTGTCAGGATCAGCTTACCTCCTGAGCTCGCTAGCAACAGAATTTCTTTAAACTTTCATTCGCTCACTTTGTTGCTTACTATTTCTCAGGCAAACGTGATGTAAAGGACCTGACATCTATTCCCCAGCCTTCCTGCAGCCCTTGAGGAAGAGGGTTTTGTCCCTATTCCACAGATAAAGAAAGTGAGGCCCAGACAGATTGACCTTTAGTTGGTAGCCAGTGCATTTTGGAGTGAATTAGCAAACTAGCCCTAAACAAAGAAACAAATGTTGACTTCCGAGAGAAATCTTCATTCAGGTTTATAAGAAGGAAGTTTTCCTGTGGCTTTAAAGGCAGTGCATGGTGATCTGACAGGTTTTAGTTTTTATCTGTCAAATCAGCTGCCAGACCTGAGCTGCAGTAAGTTAGATCCTGTCTCTAAGTTTCCAGAGGGAAGTGTTGAAACTCAATTCACTGCCTTACCCTTGCAGGTGGAGTTTTGAATCACAATAAAATATTTTGTTCTGCATTTAAATTTTAACTTATTTGGACACTGCTGTTATAAATAAAACACTATGGCATTGAGCCTCTTGGAGATCTAATTAGCCTTTTAAGTTGTAGTTATTGATTATTTTGGAAATCCTAATTTCATAGTGGGGTATTTTTCAATTTTAGTAAGGGAAAAGAAGATATATATGAGGTAAAAGTATAGAATTAACGAGGTAATGGTTAGCTCTGTGGTTTTGAAGACAGCTGTGGGTTAATATTTTTAGTTGGTAAAGGTTTTTTTACTTCCCCTCCTCCCCAAAGGAATGAGTAGTAATAAATATTATCTTTTCAAAGCAGTACTCTCCTGCACATTCTTGGCCAACTCTGGCCACACTCCCCAGTGGCACCTGTGTGCACGCACGTGTGTGTGTGTGTGTGTGTGTGTGTGTGTGTGTGTGTGTCACCATTGATAAAGATGTACTGTGCACCTCACTGCCTCAGCCACAGAGGGCAATCAGGCAGCATGTGACATGCGAGGGAATTCAGAGCCAGGAAGAAATGCAGCGCTGACATTAGTTATTAATTAATTTTCTGAGAAGGATTCCTGTTAAGAGAGGGCATCAATGAGCCCTGAAGGTGGCATCGCACTTGGCTGAGCAGGAGAGGCTGAGTGAGGAGGGAGAGCAGGTGGGGAGAAGTGCAGAACTGGACACAGAGCTTTCCTGGGGGGATGCTGGGCAGAGTGAGGGGTGTTCGCAGCCACTGAGCTTGTCCAGGATTGGTTTTTCCTGGTAGATCACTTTCATGGCACTAGATAATAACGTTTATGTATTTATTTCTTGACTTGCCAACTTTAAATAAAATATACTGCCTCTTTTTTAACATTTTTTATTTATTTATAATCATTTTACAATGTTGTGTCAAATTCCAGTGTTCAGCACAATTTTTCAGTATACTGCCTCTTGAATACAAAAAGTGTTTGTGCTCATTTATACCACGGCCCTCCTTCCGGTTCTCTTTCGTATTCATGTGCCTTTTTTACAGAGTTCTCTCTGTTGGTTATGTTTGTAACTGTAAATAATGCCTATGTTGTTTGTGGGTGACACATTCCCCAAGATACTTGAAATTTAACTTTCGACATTAAATAAACTCACGTTTTTGAACAGGAGGAAAACATTTGCAAATGTACATTTGAATTATGGGATAACAGAAAATGGATTTTATTCCACTTTTGAAATGAGAAATAACACCTTTTTCTTTCTCAGGTTGAGCAAGTGAAATTACTTGACCGATTCAGTAGCAGCAACAAGGCACTGACAGGGACCCTGTACCTCACGGCCACACATCTGTTGTTCATAGACTCTCACCAGAAAGAAACCTGGGTAAGGAGGACCGCAGCCGGGTTACCACGATTATTGCAATGGGCTCGTCCTTCACTATGTTTTATTTTGAATATGTACAAGCATTTTTAGGTGTTGCCTGTCTAAATGAGAAATTTTTCAAAGTCATGTGAGCACTTCCGCCCTCCTTTTGAATAAAGCGGTGGCGTCACCTGGGCTGTGGGATTCTCTCTCGGTGATGAGTTGTAAGCAAAGGCCTGGAGTTCCTGGCTGAAGGGGCAGAGCTATCATCCCAGTTGGCAGGAGCAGCCCCGTGCGTGTACAGAGGAGCCAGGTGATGGCCGTGGTCACTAGGACTTGAGTGTGCGGAGGAATTGGAATGAGGCTAGAGAAGTGGGAAATGACATGACTAGAATGCTTTGGGGGGAGGGGGTGCTTTTTAATGGTCACCCCTCTGCCTTGTAGAAAACAGCTCAGAGGGTCAGGAGTAGACGGAGCCTGTTTCTGGCTTGGGCATATGGTCATTAAAAATTTGCGTGTGTAGTTTAAGATCGGAGACTGTTTACAGAGGCGTTTCTCACATGTCTGCACTCTGGGAGACAGTAGCTGTTTTGTGCTTTTCTGTAATGATGATCAGATGTTGTCTCCCGTTGTAGATCTTGCACCACCACATTGCCTCGGTGGAGAAGCTGGCTCTGACGACGTCGGGGTGCCCACTGGTGATTCAGTGCAAGAACTTCCGGACTGTGCATTTCATCGTTCCCAGAGAAAGAGATTGCCACGACATCTACAACTCTCTACTACAGCTGTCAAAGCAAGGTGCTGTTCTCCAGGACCAGAGCTTACTTGCTAATTGAGATGGACTAGATAATCCAAGATACTTTATTTAAAATCTCATTATTGTTACATTATACTTCAGGTTACTCTTAAGTTGGGTTCTTGTGTGCTCTGTTCCAAAAAATTTGGCCTAGAAATGATGAGAAACTTCCGATCTGAACTGTAGGAATGGTTTCCAAAGGCAGGGAAATAGCAAGGAAAGAGTGAAGCATTTACAGTGGTACAGGCTTGACGAACCAGATTGCTGTTGATGTTTTCAAAGTCTGTTGAGAGCCAGTAGCCCAGCTTTTTTTTTTTTTTTTTTAGTGGGTGTCCCAGAGCCAAGAGGAATGACTTGGAAGTTGATTACTGCATGAAAAGTTAAGGGAGGTCAGGCTCACCTGGCCACAGTGGGGCTGATTCCTTAGATTGACTGAAGTGAGCAGGGGTAAGAGAGCGTGACTCCTGCTTTAGTGGAGGCAGGAGTGAGGGCATTATTGGCCCCGGGGGAGGACTCTTACTGGCGCTGGTGCCCTGGTGTCTGCAGGCTTCCTCCCCCAGCATGCTGGATGCCGTGGCTGTCTCCATGGAGACAGAGCTCACTGGTTCCTGACTGTTCCTTGTGTGTTGCACACCTGGGTTGCAGCCGTCTCGGAGCAGGTCCCCTCTCACTCTTCTCTCCAGCTCCTCTCTGGACCCTCAGAGCCTGTACGGGTGTCTGCACCGCCCCTAGGGAAGCCCCGTCCCACAGCGGGCACGCTTCTCCGACTTTGGGGCGTGGCGTTGTTCAGGAGCAGATGCTCTTGGGGGCTCTGTGCACCCTCTGCTGGTTTTGGCCAACACCGTCCTGTGGGATGTACGTGCACTTTCCCGTTTTTCTGTGCCATCTCTAGTTCTTGGTTAAAGCATTAGTCCTCCGTGTTACGTTTCATTTGGGAAGAGTGGTGGGTGGGAAGTGTCTGCTTCTCTCTTCAAAATTTTACTTTTAAGGGAAGGAAGTATTGCAGTAATGTCTAAGTCTTACTGTGATATTTACTAGGTTTTGCTAATGGTACAAATGAAATCTTAGATCGACATATGTGTCTTCAGATTACTCATTTTCATCAAAGAACTGGGAAAATAGTAGGTTCAAGTATGTTCAGGTATTAGCTATCTCTGAAAATTTTTTAAAAATGGAGGGATAAAACAAAAATTATTAAATCCTATAAACTGCATTTTAACATTTGTGTGTTTTGTGTACCATAGCAAAATATGAAGACCTCTACGCATTCTCTTATAACCCCAAACAAAACGATTCAGAAAGACGGCGAGGCTGGCAGCTCATTGACCTTGCGGAGGAGTATCAGAGGATGGGGGTGCCGAATTCAAACTGGCAGCTGTCTGACGCCAACAGGGATTACAAGGTACCCTGTCAGTCAGAAAATGCTGGGACCGAGAGTCAGAGTCATAGTAGCGGCTTGTCCGTGTACTACTCTGTACTGTTCTTGCGTTTATATGTTTTAGTGTTTGAAAGGTGTTTTTTAAGCTCTTGGATTTGGAACCATGAGTGCAATGGTTATGTTTTATTTGATTTTTACAGATTTGCGAAACTTACCCCAAAGAGCTTTATGTTCCCCGAATAGCAAGCAAGCCAATAATTGTTGGTAGTTCCAAGTTCCGGAGCAAGGGGCGGTTCCCTGTTCTTTCCTACTATCATCAGAGTAAGGAGGTAGGAAGCTTTCTTTTGATTTTACAATTGAAGCATAACCCTCTTCAGGCGTAAGTATCCGAAAGAACACTCATTTTTACATTAAGAGGTCATTGTTATATTGCTGATGGAGAAGTGCTGGCTTTTCCCTTAATAACATGATTGAAATTTAAAAACAAAATTATCCTGAAATACGGAAACTCTCATACTTGTCATCTTTCTCCCCTCCCCCTCATCCTTTCCTTCTTCCCTTCCAGGAGTGACTTGAAAACAGCAACAGGATTTGTGAGCAGATGGATTCTTCCTGCTTTCCTCTGGTTCTCTTTTGATCCTGCTTGTTTGCGGGGAGAGCAGATAGTTTGGACAAGCCAGCTATTGAGAAAAGGGAGAGAACCAAGGGTCTTTCAGGCTCCCGTTTTAATAGTAAGCTCCTCACATGGGAGGACTTTTCCAGTGAGAAGGGGTGGAGGCGGCGTCTTTATACCGAGACGCCGTGACAGGGATTGCTCAGCACGGTGAAGCTTACCTGCAGTCCCTGCGCAGGCAGGAGGGCCTGCGTGATTAGTGCTCTCTGTGCGTGGGAGCCGCGGGGCAAGCCTGTCAGCTCTGCTCCTTACCTGTCCCTTTCCGTGGGGACCGGTGGTTCAGAGAGGGTGGATCTCTTCTCGTCACAGCTGGTAACTTGAGGGCTCGATGCCAGTTCTGACGCCCTGTCCTTTGTGAGCTGGTTTTTTCCCTGGGAAGTGTTTAGAATTGTCTTTTTCCTCAGGGTTCTGAAATTTCACGGTGATGTGCCTTGCCGTGTTGTTCTAAATTCTGTCTGGAAACTCAGGACTCTGTTGTGGGAGGTTGCTCCTTTCTTTGGTAATTTCGTCTCTTCTATTAATTTTTTGTGCTTTGTGTGTGTGTGTTGACAAGTGGGCTTCTTAACATAAACTTGCATTTTTCTTAATTTTCTCTCCTATTTATCTCTTGAGGTAAGAATTCTTCAACCTTATCTTCAGTCCATCTCCTGTCTCCTTTATTTTTGCTGTAATGTTTTAAAAATCCAAGAATTCTTTCCTGTTTTCTGAGTCTTTTTTTTTTTATTAAAAAATTTTTTTTCTGAACTTTTTAGTTTTCTCTTCTTGGATGTGACTCTGAAGATGTTAAAGAATTTTTTAGAAAGAATTCTTGTGCTGCCCACATAGCAGTCTGCTCAGTTTTTTTTTTCTTATTTATTTTGTTTTCCATGTCTTTCGAATATCTGAGTCTTGGCTGGCCTCTCGTATTTAAGAGTGAGGTGCTTCAAAGCTGTTGAGAAGTTCGCTTGTGCGCTTGAGTGATCTTCTCTGGATTTTTTTCTGTTGTGATTTTCACACCACCGTGTGTCGTAAGCCTGTCCAGGGTCCAAGTGTGGGAAGAGGGGTGGGGAGGTCGCACGTTTTGTTACTCGGGCTTTACTTAATCTTGTTTTGGGTGGGCACAGGGCTTCACCCCAGCCTAGCTGTGTTCCATTATCCCCCGTCAGGCCTTCAGAGGTGTCGGCTCCTGGGCCTTACTGGGCTTTTGCTGCTGAGAATACCTTGCTTCCTTTTGACTCGGAACAAGTTGTCAGCTTTCTTTGCTAAATCGGTTACTACTTGTCAGTCCGTTTTCATTTCCCCACATTTTATTGATGGCTCTACTCAATTTTTGTCTCTTTTCTCATTTTCTTTGACCTTTTGGTGTTATACATTTAAAATTTCTTCCTTAGAACTTTAGTTGGGTTTGAGAAGGGAGCCAGAGGTAAAAAGTAAAACTTGAAACAGAAGTTCCTAATCTGCTTTTCATAACAAAGTCATAGGGAGTTATGACTAGTTAAGGCCTCTGTTTGACACACCCGTGTTTGTATACATTTTTTTATTAGAACACTGGGCTGAAAACAGATACGCAGTGCCCAACCCAACAAGCCAGAGAGTTGGTCTGAGAAAACCTTAATAAGGCGGTCCTCATTTTCTTCTACTGTTTTATTACATTTTCATGGTTTTATTTTATGTGTGAATATGAATTTATATATACTTTTTTCCTTAATGATACTGTGGTTGGAATGTTTGGGTAGAGTTAAGTTGGAGCTGGTATGGCTGAGATTGGGAAAAAGGTACATGGGTCTAAGTCTTTTAAATCTTTTCTTAAGACTGAACAACAGTAGATAATCTACTCCAACACGCACTACTTCTTAGTTATTTTTGCTCTCTTAGATTGACTATTTTAACCAAATTTGAATTGAAGTTCATTTTTCTCATTTTATGTCTCATTTTATATAAAGTTTGCTGATTTCTAATTAGAGCTCTGAAAGCCTTTGGAAAGTAAAAGTTCAAATGGTGCTGTTTAAAAAAATTATATTCTACATTTATTGATGATTCATTTACCTGAACTTGAGTTGAAAGAATCTTATAATCCAGAGCACAGAATGCAGCTGTCTGGTAGGTTACCTGATACAGAATCGAACAGGTGTTGCTTCTTAGGATGAAAGATTTTTTTTTCCGTCAAACTAGATAAGGAGCTATTTAAGTTTCTTAGTAGGAGATAGTATTGGGAAAACTTAAGTAACATCAAGACGTTGAAACAGTATTTAATCCAAATAGAATTTCAAAGTTAACACCCGAATTGTCCTGCCAGCTTTTAAACAGACTATGCATTTGATTTTAACTTTTGGGGTTTTCTCCTTTTAAGATGTTTTTCAGATAGGTTTTAGATTTATCTTTGAATAATCTGTTTTCTATCTTTTTAAAACTAGGCTGCCATTTGTCGATGTAGTCAGCCACTGTCAGGATTCAGTGCCCGGTGCCTGGAGGACGAGCATTTGCTTCAGGCCATCAGCAAAGCCAACCCAGCCAACCGCTACATGTACGTCGTGGACACCAGGCCCCGGGTATGTGTCTGAGCCCAGCACAGTCTGGCCGGGCAGTTGTCCTTCCTTGCTGATTCAGTAATGGAAGTTGATCAGTTTGTCTGTATTTAATGTATTTCAGTCCTAGTTTTAAATTAACTGAGGCTAATGGTACCAAAGAAATCAATCTTTTAAAGCATACTAACTTAGGTGACCCATTTCCCAGTCAGCCAGATGACGATTTATGTCTTCACACACACACACGTATATATGTATGTATGTATATGTGTGTGTATATATGTGTATATATATATAATATGTGTGTGTGTATATGTACATATATTTATGTGTATATGTATATGTAAATGTGTGTATACGTATATATGTCTATGTATGTATATGTGTGTGGATATGTATATGTGTGGATATGTGTGTATGTATATGTATATATGTGGGTATATGTGTGTGTATGTGTGTATATGTACATATAAATTTAGGAGAGCTGAATTTTATATTGGGAACGCTTGCCGGTATATGTCTTTTGTTATTGTGAAGAAATACTTAATTGTATTACTTTTTTGGTAGAATTCTTAATTGGCAAAATGCTTTGTGTTAAAATAATAGATCTTAATTTGGAATATTCAAGAAAGTAAGGAAAATAGGTAGTTAACTTAGGAATCATTGAGCTAGAGAATTATAAACAGTGCACAGGACGTAGTTGTTCTGTTAGGACTCTGTGATGTCAGGATAAATTTTTGTCATTGGGACCAATGTCAGAATCCCCTTCCCTTTCATAAGCACAGTTAAACAGCCAGTTCACGTAGGATCCTACAGCTAACGCAGTGAAAGCCCTCAGTGGTAACAGCTGACGTTACTTTTAATTTTTATTATAGCATCGCACGCAGAGCTGGTGGGCTACACAAAAGGACATTGGCAGAATTATAGTGAGGATTTCTTCAAGAATCTGGAATGAATGAGAAAATAAGAGAAAGCGATGAGAAAAAGCAAGTGAGCAGTCTAGAGCGCAACTTGGGCAGCCTTGTTGAAAGGAATGGTAGCTGTTTGAGAAGTAATTCTCACCATTACACAGTCTCACAAGGGACAGTGGAGAAAACAGAAGATAAGAGTAATCTGAGTAAATTAAGACATACTAAAAATTGGACATTGATAATTCGATAACATTTTATTTACACAAAAAGACTTTCTTAGAAGTCATGAGTGTTGGTGCTATCTCTTGTAAGAAAAGTTTTAGGTTCCTTCCTTGTATAATCTGGGTGGGTTAATTGGTTAGAACTATTTTTAGGTAATGTTAGATATGACAGATTATTGTAATTTAAGAATCTCTGAACCTGTGGTCTGAGGGCGATTTGTTTCTTGGGACCTAATAGCTCTTACTTCTGTAATTGACTTCTACACAGAAAATATCTTTGATTGCATTGTTTTCCTAGTTAAACTTAAACTCAAGTAGTGGTAATTCTTAACAGCTAACTCTTGCCTTAGTCATCGTAGGTGGTGAATAACCAGTGAGTCAGCAGATACAACTTAACTGTACTTCTTGCCGTCCTGGGCCCCAGTCTACTGCAGGAGAAAGACAAGCTTTTCTTGCAGTTTAGGTTCTGCTTCATCCAAGTTCATAAGAATACTTAGCAAGTTATAACGAACTGTGTGAAATCGTAGTCGGAAAGAATTAAACGTGCCAAATCCTGAGAGAACCTCTGACAGCATTTGATCTAATAACCAAAGCCCACGGGCCTATGGGCAGTCCTTTCTCCCTAGAAATCAGATTTTTGGGGCCTAATTCCTGGAGGTGTCTCAGGCCAGTGCGTTGCCGCACGCTGCGTGGGCCTCCTCACTCAGCCTGACGGGTGCCTCAGATCTGGTTTTCGGGGCCTCTGGGGGCTTCTGAGTGAGCACGTGCTCCACGCTTGTTCTGAAGTGAACCTCGTAGATTCATTCTGTTACAGACACTCCCCAGCTCTGCTTGTCTCTGAGTCATTTAGGATGTGGATAGGAGATACTTCTTCCTTTTTTTTTTTAATTTTGAAATACTATAAACATACGGGAAACTGGCTGCAAACATCAGTGAGCTATTTGTGGGGAGCTTGTCTGGCCCTTCCATTGTGTAGCAACCCTGTGACTTCACAGTAGCCGCCTATTAAAAATGGTGGCATATTCAGTTTGGAGGCATTCCTTTAAACTCCACTAGCTATAATGTGCTTTATTTCGTGTTTTCATGATATTTTGGTAAAGTAAGTTAAAAGATGAAAGCAATTTGTCTCTAAATTTCTAAAATTTAAAATTTTAGCTGAATGCCATGGCCAACAGAGCAGCTGGAAAAGGTTATGAAAATGAAGACAACTACTCTAATATTAGGTTTCAGTTTGTTGGGATTGAAAACATTCACGTCATGCGGTCCAGCCTTCAGAGACTGTTGGAAGGTATGATTGCTGCTTGCCTTGCAGGCACCTTTGTTCAGCAGAAACGGGATGCTGAAGGCAGAACGTAAGATTTGTGATTGTATAATTGAAGTTTTTCTAGTAGTCACATTGGCAAGAGTAAAGAGAACAATTGAAATGAATTTTAATAATAGACTTAACCTAACATATTGAAAACATCATGCTAACATGTAATCAATATAAAAAATTAATCATGGTATAGTTTACTTTTTCCTTTAAGCCTAAGAAATTGGCTCGTGTGTGTTTCACCCTTACAGCACATCTCAGTTCGGACTACCCACGTTTCAAGTGTGCAGTAGCCATGTTTGAGTGGTGGCTGCCATATTGGACAGGACAATTCTAATGGTTTTACAAAAAATTGCTTTTGTTCGACATTCTTGATTAGTCAGTACAGGGAAGATTAATTTATGATAATGTGCCATTTAAATACTAACCTATCTTTCCAGTCATGGTTTGGAATTTTAAAAATTTAAATATTAGACTGTTTTTAATTAAACACATAAGATGCAAAATTTTATAAAAAGGGGATTGGAGCATTTTTTTAAGCACAAGGAATGATAGAAAAATGTACCGAAAAGTCCGTTACTGAGCGTAAGGGCACGTTCATGTCCATAAAGCGTCTTGCGTGCTGATGTCCTCTCCTCCCCAGACTCACTCCCCTGGGGCCTCCCGGGCAGGGGTAGTGGGGACTGGCTCCGTCTGACAAGCGTTTTCTCCCCTTGCAGTCAGCGGCACCAGAGGGCTGTCTGTCGGCGACCTCTACTCCGGCCTGCAGAGCTCGGGGTGGCTCCGCCACGTCCAGGCCGTCCTGGGCGCCGCAGTCGTCTTAGCCAAGGTGCGTCCCTGCCGCCCCGCCAGGTGAGGGGGGTCACGGCTGGTGCTGCCGCCCTTCCCCGTCAGTGCCTCCAGCGGGGCTTCACCTCCTCAGTGAGGCTCACATTAATTTTAAAGAGCTTGGGTACTGCCGTGTCCCCTTGAGGGAGGGACTTTAGAAGAATGTCCCCAACACTTTGAAACAGCATTTTTGTCTCTGTCTTTTGTTGACTTACTTGGCGTTTTTGTTATGTTTTGTCTTGGTTTTGGGAAATTATTCTGTGATTTTTTTTAAGGTGTTTATTTTTTCTTTTACTCTCTTCTTTTGGCGGGAAAGTAATTACATTTGTTTATTTACTTATTTTTCTTAATGGAGGGACTAGGGATTGAACCAGGACCTCACCGCTGAGCTATACCCCTGCCCCTGTGACGATGTTATTGCAGTCCTAGCTCGTCTTTGTAATACGGTCCCTGCTGGTATGTTTTTTGAGTAGGCACGACGTGCTGACTTGCCTCAAGTGTGTTCTGCTGCAATCTGAGTGCGTGGTCTTTCTTCTCAGGCGGTAACGACCGAGAGCGCCAGTGTGTTGGTCCATTGCTCTGATGGCTGGGACAGGACCTCCCAGGTTTGCTCCCTGGGCTCCCTCCTGCTGGATCCCTACTACAGGACAGTCAGAGGATTCATGGTAAGGTCGTCTGGCCAGATGGTGGGCTCAAACGGGGGTGGCTTTGTGCCTAAGGTCACACCGGTATGGATGTGGTGGAGCCCAGGCAGTGTGACTCCAGAAACTGCACCATTACCCACTACATTGCGTGGCCTTCTGGGGAGGACTAAGACAAAGCCAGAAGAGCTAACCGTGGCAATTTTGACACTGAAAAGAATGTACTTGGTGATTATTTAATGAAATTACAAAGTATACTAAATACTAAGGAGGCTGTGTAGATTAGACTGAAGATAACTAGAAGCCTACTATTATTTTAGTAGAGTTGAAACAGAAAACAGATAAAGACAACACATATAAGAGGTTAGATATCATTTGAATTTGAATACAGATTTTTCATTAGTTTATCATTCTTATTTTTTTTTGAAGTGTTACATAAGTAACATTCAAGTGAACCAAAAGTTTTAAACACCCACCCCAGTCTACCACCCACGGTGAACCACCGGTAGCAGTTTGGTTTACATTTTCCTCACCTTTTTTCTGTGCATATATCATCACACGTACGAAAATATTAATGTAGTAGTGTTTCATAACATACATTTATCACTTAAAATGTGATAAATACAACTGAAACAAAGTCACAAGGCTGCTGTATGTCTTCTTATTTATTATTTTCACTCTTAGTTAGACCAGCGTCTAATCCAGGTTCTTGCTGTCTTATGCCTCTAATTTAAAATTTTTTGCTTTGTTTTGTTTGCAGCCAAAAGTTAAAAGTAAATGCTGTTTTTAAGATAATAGAATTTAATCCATTCTAAACAGACAAAAAATTGAAAGTGGTTATAAAATGGATTTTACTTTTTCCTATAATAGGTTTTAATAGAAAAGGATTGGATCTCCTTTGGACATAAGTTTTCAGAGAGGTGAGTCACAGTTACACATTTAGGTATTTGTAAAACTTGTTCAGAGTGCCAGAATAGTTCTGTTCTTTAAGAGCCGTCTTGTCTGATGATGGGAGGCGAGCATGCTTTGGTTTTGTGTATGAAGACTGATTAAATTTTTCTGTCGTTTCTTTCAAGTCTCATACTTTTGTTAATTTTCATGGCAATTTATTACCTTCCTTTTTGTCTGGACTGTAGGAGTTAGAAAGTAACAGACCCTTTAAAATTGTGGTTGAAAAACTCACAGGTATAAATTGTTTCAGTAAAAGCATAAGAGTTTTTTTTACGCCAGTAACAATGTTTCAGGAGTTTTCTTGGTGGGGGTATTTAAATTTAACAGTACCGGAACAGTTGACTATTTTCAGGCACATTTTCAAAAGCTTGTACTCTCTGGGGCTAGGTGTGGCCATCTGGACGGGGACCCCAAAGAAGTCTCCCCGGTGTTCACTCAGTTCTTGGAATGCGTGTGGCATCTGACCGAACAGTTTCCACAAGCCTTCGAATTCAATGAAGCGTTTCTTCTTCAGATCCACGAACATATTCATTCATGCCAATTTGGAAACTTTATTGGAAACTGTCAGAAGGAAAGAGAAGAACTCAAGTAAGACAGTTGATTAAAATGGACTTTCTTCTTTTCTCTTTAGCTGAGGTCTGACGTAAATCATAGTTGAACTTAGAATATCTTGACAGGATGTGGAACTGAGTTTGGTTGTAAAGATTTTATTGTCTGTATTTCTGAAGCTGAATGCCCTCTGAATACCCCCACACTCTCGGGGTAATGGCTAAGCTGTGTTTTGAAGTGCAGCGTACGTGCAGAAAAGTGCATGTAAGCGTGAGACTCAGTGCATCCTAAACTTGCCCACCTGCTTAAGCAGCATCAGAGCCAGAAGCGAGCAGCATCCGGGAAGCCCCCTCATGTTCCTTTCCAATCTGTGTATTTAGAACAGAAAAACCCCTACATTATTTCATTTCCTGGAAAATACTGGTCTAAATTCTAAAGTGCAGTAAAAGGTATAAAAACTTGGTTTTGAGGTAAGGGAAAGCCTTGCAGCTCCTCTCACGTTTCTAAGTGGATGGTTCTTTGAGGAAAGTGAATGCAGCTGTTGTTGGCCCAGCGCCTTCCCCGCGTCGGGTCTCGCGCCTGCCCCTCCCTCGGCAGCCTACGGAAGGGGAGGGCTTTCTGGTTCAGGCTGGACGCCGGCGAGCCCTGGCGTGAGAGGCCCCTGTGGACACACGTCCGCGGAGGTCCTGGGCGTAGATGTCCGAGCGTCAGGAGGGAGCAGTCGCAGGCTGCCGACCGGCCGCGGCCGAGGTGGAGGCGCCGAGTCCGTGGTGGTCTGAAGGCAGCACGTGCTGGCTCCCCCGCGGCCTGGACGGCGGGGCTGGCCGCGTGCGGAGGGGCGTGAGGGTGTGGAGCGGGGATGCCCGGGGAGCCAGCGATGGCCACGGGCCGTGGGGGCTCCCTGCGTCACCAAGTTGTGGCTGGTGGTGGCCTGGGGCGGCAGGGCTGCTTTAGGAGGAGCTGTTCCTCCCGGCCAGTGCCGGTGGTCCCCGTCGGCGGGACGGCGCTGACACGGCCGCTGCCCGGCCGTCCTTCTCTCAGAACTCACCTGCTGGCCGTCTGGGGGTCGTGGAAGAAAGAGCGGGGTCTCCACCTTGCCCCAACCCCCGCCTGTCTTGGGTTCACTTGGTACACACACCGTGTAAAGCCGGTCCTCCCTCTGCCCACCTGCTGCCCCTGCCTCTTGGAGCCGCCGTGTGTAACGAGTTGTTTCGCGCCTGAATGGCGTCCCGACTTTTCCTAACGCCCTTGTGTGTGCGCACTCACACTCGCGTTCGTCCCCGGGGCCCAGACGGGCCCAAGGGGGCGAGGTGGGCAGGCGGGCCGCGCGCTTCCCCCGCGCGTCCGCGGGCGAGCCCTCAGCTGCTCTCCCCCGCAGGCTGAAGGAGAAGACGTACTCGCTGTGGCCGTTTCTGTTGGAAGATCGAGAGAAGTACTTAAATCCTCTCTACCGGCCCCAGGCTCAGGAATTTGCAGTTTTGGAACCAAATACAGTGTCTTTCAATTTCAAGTAAGTTAGCGTGACTGGAGTGTCTATGCCTAAGTTTTTAAAACCCACTTTATTGAAATGCCTTTTTTTTTTGTCATAAAGGTTTTGGAGAAACATGTACCACCAGTTTGATCGAACTTTGCATCCTAGGCAGTCTGTATTTAATATAGTTGTGAATATGAATGAGCAAAATAAACAGTTGGAGAACGACATTAAGGACTTAGAATCTGTAAGTACCTAACGGGATGTTAAATTAGTTTGTTTCCTTACTTGTGCTCAGTGTGAATTAGCGTATTCAGAAACCTCCCACATACACACTGCTTCAAAACCAGATCTCTACTCTGAGTAGGTGAGTTTAAATAATTTCCCCTGAATTTTAAAATATATTGAATTATTTGAAGTAGCTAGAAAAATAGATATAAACCTAATACATATTAGGGCATCCACCACCTAGCTTTGTGAGATTTTAACGTTTATCACATTTGATTCAGCTCTTCCATGTTTTTGTCTGAAGACCCTGTGTGCTCCTGAGTCTCCCCCACCTTCAGTGTGGAATTTGTTAGTCATTCCTGCACATTTTTTTACACACCCAGTATATGTTCAATCCACAAACAATTTATAATACTGTTTTATATGATTTAAAATACTGTTTTTATTAAATACTGAAAAATACGAAAGAAAATAGTCTGTGTACGAGGTATAAAGGGCAGCAGGCAACACGAGTGCCCTGGAAGCCCTCACTCAGCTTTAGAAGCCACGAGCTTTTTTAAACTATGTGAAGGCTCCCACGCTCTCTTGCTTCACTTTGCTCAAAGTTGTTTTGAAGTGTATCCGTGTTGATCAGTTTAAGCTTGTAGCTTTAATTCATCTGTTCATGAGCAACTGCTGTGCAACATTCTCTCGTGTGACTGTGTCGCAGTCTGGCAGGTCAGCTCTGCTCCACGACTCAGTTATTTGCAGTGTTGGATTTCCAGATAACGGGTGACGTTGAGTGACTTTCCCTGTTTGTTGGCCATTTGCTTTTTCCCTTTCTGTGATTGGTCTGTTCAGACCAGTGCTCATTTTTCTGTTGGCATATTTGCCTTTTCCTTACTGATTTGTAAGACTTCTTTGTATACCAGACACCAAGTCTTACTTAGTTATATGTATCACCAGTGGCCTTGTCCAGTCTTTTCTTAGCTTTTCCATTTTATTTACGGTATGTTTTGTGTAGATACTGTGAATTTTAATGTAGACAGATAGACAGATCTTTATGGTTTTTGCCCTTCTGTGTCTCTTGTTTAAGCAATCCCTCCCCCCTCAAAGGAAAGCAATCCCCTCCACCCTAGGACCTTCTTTCCTTTGCCTTTGGAGACGCCGCAAGAGGGTCAGTCAGTCGTGCTTCAGAAACCCCAGGCGGCTGTCGTCACTCAGCAAGACTGCCCCTGGCCGTCTGGGGTGGGGCGCTGGCCGCTTGATTGGACGGGAGAAGGGACAAGCCCAGGATACTGGTGGTGCGGGAAGATGTCTGGAGATCAGGCCAACTATTCGGGGAGTGTGGAACTCTGCCAAAGAATACTTTTTGAATCTTCTGTTAAAATAGGAAAAGTTCTACTGTGTCCTGAAGCCTGCTGCGCTCACTAACCAGCCCTTGTAGGAGCCCACATGAGACAGCTCTTCAGGCCCCAACACCTTTAGCTGATACATGAGTGTGTTTGTTCCGTTGCACAGCTGTGATTTCAGAGTGACTGTCTCACACGTATTTCTTTCATGATAAAAGGCCTACCTTTTAGACCTTCTAGGAAATGTACGTGCTTTGCAAACGTGAAGACCTGGCGTTCTTCTGCAGTCAAGTGTGATAACCATTTTCCGTTGCAAAGGTTGTCAACAGTTAGCGTTCTCAATCATGTTACTCACCCTCACTAGATTTTAATTTTTTGAGATTTAATTGTATATCATACATAACGAGAAAATGTGCAAAAGCACTTTTTTCTGCTTTCAGCTAGCTATATTGAAATGTCGTATGTGCAGCTAGTAATCTCTTTCAAATTTGGATTTGTTCCAGCAAATTAAGAAACGTAAAAATAAGCAAGCAGATGGAGTTCTCACCAAGGAATTGTTAAATTCAGTTCGTCCTGAATCACCTATGCTCAAAACTTCCTTGTGTTTTAAGGAGCAGACGCTGCTCCCCGGGAATGATGCTCTTCGAACTATAGACAGCAGCAACCCAGCGGATAATCGGTACAGCGAATACGCCGAGGAGTTTTCCAAGCCGGACCCCGCCGTGGTCAGCCTGGAGTACGGCGTGGCGAGGATGACCTGTTAGGCGCGGGCGGTGCTGCCTGCACTGGCTGCCGTGCAGGAAGCGGGTCACCGTGCGGCTGGTCCGTGTGTGGGACCGAAAGTGCTCTCAGAGTGTCCCGGTGGGTTAGCAGCTGGAGAGAGGCCGGTACCTGCTCTGGTGAGAGAAGTCAGGCAGTTTAGCTGCGTTTCTAGCAAGATGTGAATGACTAACAGTTCTTGAAGAAACGAGTGGTATCGGCCCATTTACTCCACACACGGTCCATACTGTACTGGTGAATTGACATGTCTGTGATTTACATGGTAACCACAGCCAAACACGAATAGCCTTCCTTAAGGATAATTTGATTGCCAAAAACAAAACTGGCAAAGTGGTCCCTTATTTAATAGCTGCCACGGCATGTACTTTCCGTTCTGTGACTGTAACTATGGCTATTTACATATTTTGCCTGTTAGTGATGTTCAAAGTTGAAGTGCCATGAAAAATATTTCTAAGAAAGCCTTAAACTCGCAGTTTATTCATTACATTGCTCTTAAGTTCCGTTGCCTAGAGCAAGGCGGTTTGCCTTGTGTTGCCTTGGGTCAGCCTTGTGTTGCCTGTGAAGACCTGCTCAGCCCTGCAGGAGCTGCCCGCCCGGCGCGCGTGCGCAGACGGTTGTAGGACTGCTGAACTGCTGGGCCTTATTTTGTGGTCGGCTTTATTCCTTTGATAACTGTGTAAGTTTAAAAAGCTAAAGCTCTGAACTGTTCTTACAAACAATGAATAGTACATATACGTATATTTTAAAATGGTTTCATGTCTCATTGAGTTGCTCTTCCTAGAATAAACTTTGTTTACCCAAGAATTTTGGGGTTAAGAAAAAGAGAATCTAGAGAGTTTAGATTTTGCTTGGTTGCATGAAGTTTTCTCTGGAACATTTTTTTCTTTTCTGTTAACAAAGAAGAAGAAAGAAAATTTAAGGATAGCCTAATACAAAGTTAACATGTAACAGAAATTTAAGTGCCAGGGAGAGTTTCATTTTGCCGTGTTGTGTTAACTCTTTATTCTCTGTACTAGTATGTGTTATTAAATTACCAAAAAAAAAAAAAAAAGATAAAAAAGTCACTTTCCATTGACAGTATCACCCAGCTGGCTTTAAATGGACCATTTAACATGGGTGGCACGAGATATACAGTTCAAGGACACCAGGAACTCTGCAAAGGGTCCCTTATGCTTTTTGTTACGCCTGTATCTGTTAGACTAGTTTTGAGCAGAAACAGATATCTTTTACAAATAGAAAAAAAAACTTTATTGTATGAGCTTATCTAATGGTATTTATTTTTCCAGTGCTTTTCTGTAATGCATTATGTAATAAGAAAAATACTTCTTTTTAAACAGTAACAGAAATGCACTATAAAACATAGTTTGTGATTCAGCCAAGTCTATTTCCACATTTAGGCACTGGGACGGGAAACTTGACCTTCGTGAGCACAGAGGGAAGCTGTTGTGCCTTGTTACTTGTTTCCAGTTACTGATTGTGATTCTAGAATCTTCTGTGGCAGACGTCTTATATTCAGCTCTTGGGTTTATTATCTTAATCTTCAACTTGAGGCCTGGATACATGTGTTTATGTGCTCACACATGGACTGGGAAACCACTTAACATGCCAAGTGACCTGCGGGGTATATAGTTGGCAAAAAGCAGACTCTGTGTGTGCCTTATGAGGCTGGGTTTATGTCCGTGTGTCGGGGTGTGTGGCATATACATTATTACATATATTATTTAAAAGGCCATTACATGTCTGTGTTTTACTTTGAATTTGTTTTTTAAAAAACAAACGGGATCCGGTTGTGGTGGGGCTTTCCCTCCTGTGAGCGCGTGGAGCTGCGCACCCCTGTCATCACACCCTGAGGTTTGAGCAGCTCGGTTTGCAAAAGGGTGCTCATGAATAGCAGTTGTTCTGTACAAAAGTGTTCACGGGGGCGTCGTGGGCTCGGGTTCAGCAGATGCATTGGTGTCGTCACGTTTTCCTTTTGATCCTGTCGCTTCCTGGCCTTAGTCAGCATTTCACTGAGCCCTTACCGGCTTGTTGGTGGAGGGCGGTGTCCCGTGGGTGGGCCCATCTACGGTGAACCGACCCTCCAGGGGCAGAGCTGAGTGTGAACCAGGGAGGATGACTGGCAGAGAAGAGTAACTTTATTTGGGGTATTTTGAGCAGGTTCATTAGGCTCAAAGTAGCTCAGGGAATCTTGTCTAAATAAAGGGAGTGGGAAGGCCTTTTTTAAAAATATTTAATTGGTAGGGGGCAGGTGTGGGATAATGTCAGGTTAACCTCTTTTTTTTTTTAAGACTATTCTTTTTAGAGCAGTTGTAGGTTCATAGCAAAGTTGGAGGGAAGGTCCAGAGATGTCCTGTGTACCCCCTGCCCCACACACGCACAGCCCTCCCCACTCAGCGTCCCCCACCAGACGGTACATTCGTTACAGCTGATGAACTTCCAGTGACAGGTCAGTCACCCAAGTCCATCATTTACCTTAGGGCTCACGCTTGGTGGTGTACATTCTGTGGGCTTGGACAAAAGCACGTGGCCTTTACAGCGTCATACAGTGTTTTCACTGCCCTAAAAATCCTCTGAGCTCCGCCTGTCAGTCTTTCCCTTCCCCCAGCCCTTGGCAACCGCTGATCTTTTCACTGTCTGCAGAGGTCTCCCACTTGCAGAGTGTCATGTAGCAGGAGTCACGGCATGTGTCACCTTTCAGATTGCCGGCTTTCACTTAGTAATATACATTTAGAGGTCTTCCGTATTTTCTCGTGGCTTGATAGCTCTTTCGTTTTAGCGCTGAGTAATATTCCATTGTCTGGATGTACCTCAGTTTATTTATCCCCTCACCTATTGTAGCACATTTGGGTTGCCTCCAGGTTGGCAGGGTTGGCAATTATGAATAAAGTTGCTATAAACATCTGTGTGCAGGTTTTTGTGGAGATGGTTTTCAGATCTTTTTGGTAAATACCAAGGAGCACGATTGCTGGCTTCCATGGTAAGAGTATGTTCAGTTTGGTAAGAAACCAATCTGTCTTCCAGAGTGGCTGCACCATGTGCATTCCCACCAGCAACGGGTGAGACCCTGCAGCTCCATATCCTTACCCGTGTTCGGTGGTGGCAGTGATCCGAAGTTGGGCCTTTCTTGTACATATAACATAACCAGCCCTTTTTGACTTTTTTGTCTTGTGCAGAAGGTCAGTTTCAGAATTCTGGACAGTTTCAGGCTGGCTGTCTAAGTTGGATGAAATGCCTGTGGCCATCTGTAGAACTATACAGAGCATTTGCAGATTGTCAGTGACATTGATCCATTTTCATTACCTGGGGTTTAGCTGTTTTGTTGGCTCTTCTGTGCATTAGTCCAGTTGGCATTAGCATATCTTGATTAGTTAAATAAAGTGTATTTTAAAAATATATATAACTAAGCTTTTAGGAACCTATATCTAGAGAAGAGGCAGCCTGTAATTTAGAATGATTATCTCAAAAAGTATGTATTATTGTGCTTGCTATCTTGTAAAAAAATAAATGCAGAGACAATTTTACTTCTTCTTTTGCAGTTTGGATACCTTTTATTTCTTTTTCTTGCCTAATGGCTCTGGCCAGCACTTCCAGTACTGTTTTGAATAGACGTGAGAACAGGCAGCTGTGCATTGTTCTTGACTGTAGCAAGGAAAAGAGTTCAACCTTCTGGTGTGACCTGTGGGGTTTTCACATGTGGCCTTGATCATATTAAGGACATTTCCTTCAGTTCCTAAATGGTTGGGTGTTCTTTATCATGAAAAGGTGCTCTCTTTCCTACCAGAAAGACTCATTAGCATCTTTAAATGTAATCAGATTAGAGAGACAATTCTAAGACCCTAAGAACCAATTCAGAAAACTTATCCTTAAAATTCTGTTTCTCTCAAGCCACCTTGGGTACCAAAGTCAGTATTAGTTAGTGTTCTCCAGAGAAACAGAATGAATAGGACACACAGATACCTGCAAGAGGAGATTTATCATAGCAAGAGGCTCCCACAGTCCTGGAGGCCGAGAAGTCCATCTCCAAGATCTGTCATCTCCAAGCTGGAGAACCAGGAAAGCCAATGGTGTCCTTCAGTCCGAGTCCTAGGAACTGAGAGGAGGAGAGGGAGGCTGGCGGTGTAAGTCCCAGTCTGAGTCCGAAGACCCAAGCTAGTGTCCAAGGGCAGGAGAAGATGGATGTCTCAGCTCAAAGAGAGAAAGTGAATTCACCTGCCCTCCAGCTTTTTGATCCATTCCAGCCTCAGCGGGTGCGATGATGCCTGCTCGGACAGGGGAAGGTCACCTGCTTTACTCAGCCCACTAATTCAAACGCTAACCTCTTCCAGGAAAACCATCACAGACACGCTCAGAAATAATGTTTTACCAGCTGTCTGGGCATCTTTTAGCCAGTCAAGTTGACATGTAGATTGAACTGTCTCATAGGGGCAGCCCCTTAAGGGCCTTCAAATCCAGGCCAAGGATTTGACTCAGTCAACCATTACGGGGACACTGCTGAAGCTTTAGGTGTTGCTTCTGTGCAGCGGGTGATCCAAGACAGTGCCCTGGAAGGGAGCACAGGCTTCGGGTCCCGTCGATCTTCCGTGCGGGTTTGATCCGGTTCGTCTCTGTAGTCTTTTGTTGATGTGTAAATAACACCAACCTCACTGGGCTTAAGACAGTTGACAGGTATGTGTGAAGCACATGAATTGTGTTTGATGCCAAATGCTTGATGTTTTAAGGTTATAAAAGCTATTTTACTAATATCAATTAGGTGGCAGTGTGTTGAAGGAACTGGGGTGAAGTCAGGCATCCAGTGGGTTTCAAAATACGGCTCCTGGGTCACCTGTATCAAAATATACCTGCCTGACCCCAGTCCCAAGTCTGAGGGACCTGAACGCTGGGACGGGCCCTGGAGGTCGCCATTTGGATGTGTCCCCAGGTGATCCTGTGAACATTTAGGTTCGAGAACCACTGTGGCTGATTTGCTCTCAGTACATGTTAGTTGTTTGTTATTTTTTGCCACGCCCTGCTGTACACGATTACCATTCTAGCACAGAGAAATCCTAAGCCAGCATGGGAAGGGGTCATCAAAGGCTTCCTTTTGAACTGTTTGCACAAATGAGTAGGCTTAGGGGGAAGGTGTAGGCTCTGGCCAGGTAGGGAGAGGGGGAGTCATCCATTTTGCACAAAAGCACAGAAAGATGGGAGAGCGTGGCTTTTGCAGGAAGTGTCACCGCTCGACAGGAGTGAGAGTTGACGGGGGTGATGTCCTGAAGGAGATGCAGAGGCAGTTTGAAGCTTTGGTTTTAAGCAAGAGTGGTGTGAGGTCAGATTTGTATTTTAGAAGAACTTCTCTGGACCGGAGGGGATGAAATGGAGGCTGCTGAGATCCCTAAGAGAGAAGGTATAAAGATTCTGACGGTGGGGAAGGTGGGATCCCATTAGACGAGGAGCTGGAACAGGCGGGGCTTGCTGACGGTACCTTGAGACCCTAGGACTGTGCACAAGGGCGAGTCCACGGTGACTTTCCGACTTCTCGTAGGGTGACTGGGTTGGGAGGACCATCACTCACCCAGGTGGGGAGTGGAAGGAGACCTAGGTACCTGGGGGAAGGAAGCTCTTGGTTTTAGGTGTGTTACACTGGTGATGGGACATCCCGGTGGAGACATTTGATAAACGTTGCAATATGGTATTAAGGGAAGAGTCCTCAGTTAGAGAGGGAAGTCTAGAAGCCACCAGTTTCTGGTGGACGATTGAATTAAGTGTGTGCATACCATTTACTAGGAGGTCTTAGAACAAGAGGAGAGACCTGAGAATGAAACCTTGAAAAGTAGCGGAGCCCAAGAGAGAATGGCGAGAGAGAAAGGGAAGGAAAGCAAGAGCATTGAAAAACCTGAGAGGGACAGACAGGCCCCAGTGAGGAAGAGTGTGAGAAGGTTATAAACTCTGTCAGATGTCACAGAGGGTCATTTAAAGAGTAGGCACTCTCTGCCATTGTCACTTGGCAAGGGCAGTTTTGTTATTAGCAGAGGCGGAATCAGATGGCGGCGGCTCTGTAGCTGATCGGCAGATGAATAAGCGGACTGCACGTATGACTAGGAAGAAAAGCTTGTTAACTTACCGATACAACTTTCCCATTAAAAGAGTGGAAGTATACTACAGACCTTAAATTAAAAAGAAAAAACCTGAGCACACATAGCCTATGGGATGGACACAGAAAACACCTCCCAAGGGACTTTGGTTCTGCACTATGAGCTTGTCCACGATGGAGCATTTCCCTCTTTTTGTCCCCGGCTCAGGGGCACGGGGCCAGCCCCAGTGGTTAGAGCCTCACTGATTGGATGGGTGGGTGGAAATGCAAGCCCAACCTTTTTAGAATTATTTCTTAATAGTTTCAGATGGAGTTAAAGGGAATGAGCCAGAATCATGTTAAAATATTGATACAGACCAAGAATGAGACTTTTAATTTTCAAGTAGTCTATCATTTTGCCAATTTGCTACGATTACCCTTTTTCTCTCTTAATATGCTTTCTCTTCCTGTCCTTGTAATTCTAGTGAAGAATTTAATCTAAATATTTTAGTACCTTCTAGAGCTTGGAAATAAGTTAGGATTTTAACATTTGAACGTTGATGCCAGGTAATAAGCATGTCGGATCCTAGCTGATGTGTTCTCCCGGGCTCAGAGCCCCCATGCCCTCCAAAGCCTGCACCTAGGCCTCTGAAGTGTGCGTGAAGGCAGCCCCCAGCAGCCGCAGGGCCGGGGCGCAGCTCCGGGGGGCAGGCCAGGTGGCCCTCGGCCAAATGGTTTCTGAAAACAGGCAATAGTGATAAATGTTTAATGCCCCTCCTTCCTCTGCAGCTGCGACAAAGCGCTGTCCTCTTTGTGAGGATCTCGTGTCTGGTGCAGTTCTCCTTGATGGTCGCCCAGAATGCTTTAGCCCAGCTTCTTGTCCTGCTTTGTCATCGGGCCCGTTTACCCTGCTCCCAGAGGGGTACTTTCTCCAAAACGCTTGCAAGTTCCTGGGGATTTTGAACCAGTACAGTTGCTCTCCCAGGACTATATTTTTTGTTTGTTTGTTTGTTTTGGGGGGGAGGTGATTAGGTTTATTTTTTTTAACAGTGGTGCTGGGGATTGAACCTGGGACCTCATGAATGCTAAGCACACATTCTACCACTGAGCTCTCCCCTCCCCACAGAGGGGATCTTAGAGTTCTCTCCAGGGCCACGATGCAGCCAATGCAAACATCCCTGCTCGACTGTGAGCACCATATCCAAAATCAAATACAGTTGCACACTCCTGGAGCGTGACCCCCGCGCGCCTGGCTCTTCCTAGGCAGACAATTCACAGTTAACACCGGAAGATGAATGAGGGTCAGGTAGTTAAATATCCTTTTGTAAATACAATAGGGTGAAAACCCTTGAAGCAGAGATTCTAGCATCCAGCCTTCATTCTAGCTTCAGTTAGTGATTCGCTGTCTGCGGTGGGCCCTTAACACTGCCTGCCTGGGAGGAAAACATCTTCCTCCTCTACGTCAGAAACCAGTCCCAGGAAGCCAGAGACGAGGCCACACGCGCCGTCAGGCGTGCGGGCCCCACGGGAGGCTTTCAAGGTCTGCGGCTCACTTTCGGAGGGAAAGTACAGAGTTTTGACAGGGGAGGCTTGCTTTCAGCCACCTCAAATATTTATGTCTTTGACTTCTCTCCAGCTCTCCCAGAGGATGGGAGTAGGTTCAAAGATAAGCGTTAACCCACAGAGGAGAGCAGGGGTCTCTGATGGAGAACGCTAAAAACGTGGGCTCAGCAGGAGGCAGGAGATACTTTATTCAGTAAAAGCAGAAGTGAGTATGTGAAATACCCCCATTCGTGTAAAGACTCATCGGAGGGAAAGAATGTACCAGGCATCCACGTCAGTGAAGGCCAGACAACTTCCAAACCCATTCATTCCAGCTCCCTGATGGAAGGCACGTCTGTATCTGGCAGTGGTTCTGCTCCGCTCAGGACTGAAGGGGCACAGCTCCGAGCTTCCCTCTGCAGACCCGGGGACCTGGGCGTCCTTCCTGGCTGCGCGGGGTTCTCTCCTCATCCTGGCTTTAAAGTAGGATTCAGTTTATCTAGCTTGCATTCTTGTGTTCTCTGACACACACACGTGCCATGGAGACGTGATCGCCAAAACATTTGAGATGTTTGAGAAATCTCCACAAGTTGCCAGCCGCAGAGCCTATGGTCTCCCTTTCCAGGTGTGCACACCTGCCGCCTCCCCTCGAACCTCCCACCCTTGCTCATGTCCCCTTCCTCCTAGGGGATGGCCTGCCTCCCTGCTCACTGAGAAGCAGACCCTGTCGGAAAGAGCACCCACTCCGACGACTTCCCTGTTGCCTCCTCCAGTGGTCAGTTTTCTTTGCCCCACCGTCCCGGCTCCTGGGAATCGTGCACACGTGTGGTCGTCCCTCCTTCCTGGGACTTGTCCTGCCGTTGGATTCCACTGGCTCCTCTGCTGCATGTGTGGTGCTGGCTCTGCACAGTTGCTGATCCCCCTGTCCCT